GAGATAGTTGACATTTTCTTTGAAATTTATAAAGTAACTCAAAATATGTCGCCTGAGCCCATTGCTTGGAATCATTTGCGATAAATTTTTCTTATCATCGACAGCTCACTTTGTGATCAAGTTTCTTAACTCTATGAGCGCCAAAGGAAATATTTGTTTGGTTTTTGTTTTTAACAATAAAAATTTATTGAATATGAATTGAAACTTAAAAAAAAAATAAAAATACAAATTTTTTAAATTAAAAAAATAAATTCAGGTGGTACAAATTATGTATATATTTTAAATCTTTGCTACGCATTGAATAGAGAAAAATATTTGCGTTTTAAAATATGTACCACCTTCGCGCAACACCTCAAACATATGTTGCTCAAATCCTAAACCAGTGCTGAAGAAAGTTTTAAGCCATATTACACAATTTGTTAAAACTTATGACTGCAGTGATGAACATACAAATATTGTGTATAAAACTCTTCTCCTTTTGACTCTTGGAGAAAAAGCTCTTTTGCTGGTCCGAACTAAGTGCAGGAAACAGCACTTAGGTCATACTATACCGTACTTGCGGACGGACCCCAAAATCCATGACAGAAATTGAAATAAGGTTGTCATCCACCGAATTCAGAATTTTGCGCCTCCAGAAGCCACCACTTAGCAATTCCAAAAGTTATCTGCTCTCCTACTTGATTAATGAAGCATCCAGAGAAGCCTTCCATTGTTGAGTGTTGAGTGTTATACTGCTTTCAACCAAATGAGCAGGAATTCCCGTGTGACCTGCCGCTTAGTTAAGAGAATGTAGAGTAAGGGCCGGTTGCTCAAAGCCTGGTTGACACTAATCCCTGCTTAAACATCGTTACCGACGTTACCAACACCGTGTTCTATGCATGAAATCGAAAACGTCGATAACAATGTTAACAGACGTTAAGTGTCAACCAGGCTTTGAGCAACCGGCCCTAAAACAATTTTCTTATATATGTATGCATTTACCAACAGAATTTGTCTGATACCTATATTTCTCCTCTGTTTGGCGGCCACTGTGGTGTAGTTGTAAGCAGTGCGCGCTTCCACTCCACAAGGTCTGGGTTCAAGCCCTGGTCAAATGAACATCGAAAAAAATTTAGAAAACAAGTTTTTTCTTAACAGCGGTCGCCCCTCGGCAGGCAATGGCAAACCCCTGAGTGTATTTCTGCCATGAAAAACAGCTTCTCATAAAATACAATAGCCGTTCGGAGTCAGCGTAAAACTGTAGGTCCCTCCGCTTTGTGTGACAACATCAAAGTGCACGCCACAAATCGGAGGGGAAGTTCGGCCAAACACTAACCTATGTGTAAGCGCCAATATATTATTATATTATTATTATTATATTGTACATCAAACATATATGTATGTATGCATTCTGCTCAGGACTATGGTTACCTAAATGAACTGTTTCACATCAAACCGATTGAAATGTATCGGAATTATGGGTACCACCTTTGGTGGATTTACAGAGTTTGTGATGGCACCTATGTATGGACTGCAATGTTTAAAATTGTAAGCACGCCAACCGTCTTATGAGCAGAAGCACGCATCATCAGACACGATAATCAATGCGGCTTTCTGCTGCTTATAAGGTATTTCCACCAAGCCTTAACGGCAGTTTATGCCTATTGGAAAAACGAGATTATCCCTCGAATGGGGTAATTGCTTATATTTAGTACAAGAAAACGAAAGTAGAAAAGCAAAAAGTAAGAAATAATATATTTCGTACTTAAATATCTGAGCCCTTAACTGCAGTTAAGCATGTGGTGGAAATAGGCTATTAGAGAAGGAGGAGTGACGTAGAGGTGTAGTTAGTAAGTTAATTGATTGGATACAATAGAAATAAGGTACATAGGGACCTAGGTAATATTTGGATGAATTCCTAACAACGGCGGCCCGGTCAAAACACGCCTTGTAGATCTAAGAGGTGATGATGATGTATAGGGCCCTGATGGCCACCTGGCTGAAAAGGTATCCGGAAAGGCGCCTTTAAAATGGTTTATCTTGGTGCGATATAAACAATACAGTGGAAAGTTTGGTACCAGTTCCATTGGTCTAAGGTTTTCAACTGGAATTTCGTTTCAAAACTGTTTCTTTTAGTATGGAGAATACTGGTATTTTATCCAAAATACCTTCATGTTGTGTGTTCTTATGAAGGCCTTCATCACATATTTGCACTTTGAAATTTCCTGCTTGCACAAAAATATGGAGTGAAGGCCACCTCAGGAGCGGCTCCAAGACTGCGGCGGAGCAAGTTCTCATTGGCCCTGTGGGTGGCTCAGAGTAGAGCCAACCGTTGTTGAGTAGTCTTAAGCAAACCGTAGTTGTGTTTCGATTAAGAAAACCTTAGCAATTTCGAATATAAGTGTATTTTAAATTACTTGCTAATTATTACTCCATTTTTACCACGCAGCTTCCCACCCAGCCATTGTTAAGTCGATAAATCATCGAAGAAGTGTCCTCGGGCAAGTCTGAAAGGCAAACTCCTTCAGTTAAAATCTCTGCTGCTTTCAAATTTGGCGATTATTCGACATAAGGATTTTATCATACAGAAATTAAATGTAATTAATGCAAATAAATACAATGAAAAGTGGTATTTCAAAATAAATCCGAAAGAATTTAGCGACTTTCATTTTCAAATGCTGCAGGCCGTACAAGTGAAGGATTTAATTGCATCGCATCCTGGGGGTGTGTTTAACGCCTGATGCCTTTGTGTGGTGTGTGATGTGTGGCATAGAAGGCGCACGAGAAGCGAGTCGGGTTAAGGTGGTGCAGGATCTTGGGGTTGCGTTGTGCGATGTGCGACGGGGGCGGGAAGGAGGACTTGTTAAAAGCATTTTGAGACATGAAATGCATTATGCCACATAAACGGTGCGTAATGCAACATTTCGAACGTTAATTATTTTTTGCCGCTGCTCCAAGTCCACACGCGCGCAAACAAACCCATGCACTTGCGACAAAGCCAACGAGCGAATTCAGACATTGACACTGGCGCGGGCACAAAGCGAGTAGGTGAAAGCCAAGTGGCGCATGGTGAAGGACAAACGGCGACAATTGCGCCACGGCAAGCAGGTAGCCGAGCGGGCAGGCGGCGGGAGGCACTCGAGATTACCATAAAAGGATGCACTTAGGGGTTAGCGCAAGTGCCATATTCGGCGATAAGCACCAGGTTGTAGCCACAAGGCAGCGGCGAGCAGACCGATGGGGCGACAGGGCAGCGGCATATAAGATGCTCGCTATATATGTAAATAGACACTGAGGGCGGGAGAGAAGCGAATTTATGTTAAGAATATCCTTGGGCGGAATTCACACAAACTTGCGGCAAAAGGATGCTCTAAGTAAATTACAACGCATTAAACAGAGCCGAAGTGAGACACACTCGACGCGGCGTGCGCGCCTGTGGGTGGGAGGGCAGCATGTTGCATGCACGAAAATACGAGTGGGATGGCAATGCGGGCGACTGGCAGCCAAAGGAGGGTTGGAAATTGTTGCGAATATGCTGTTTGTTTATCGAAGCCTCGGAGCAGATATTTGGAATTTGCTGGAATTATATGCGACGCTGTGCAAGGAAAGGTAAAGGACCCAACGAACGACCAGCAGTCACAACACTCGCACCGGCCGGAAGACGAAGAGCGCACAGATGGGAAAGGGAGAGGGTGGCGAGCGCAACAGCAAAAACTTGCGTTTTGTACGCAAGAAAATTTGTGTGTTTGTGTGAAGATATGCGCAGCGGTGGCGGGGGATGAAGCCACAACTTAGCAACCCCCACTTGACTACGACGCATACTCGGCGAGCTTCCGCAAACGCGTACACAAGGCAGGTATTGTCAGCGTTCAAGGGACAGGACGGGACGGGACGGCTGCACGCTTAGCTAGTAGCGGATTCGGTGGAAAACGGACACAGCAGACAGCTTTGAGTCGCCTTTTAGAGTCGAGATTATTCGCTGCACCAGCCATAGGCGACCCTAGGCCGCCCTTGTGGGAAAACAACGAAAACTCATCAGCCATCGCGTATGGGGTGGCAAGTTGACGAACGAAGCTACCGGCGTTGGTTGCTACGCGCGCGCACGTGTCTACCATAATGCACTGCCGCAAAACAAATGAAAGCAATAACAGTAATGCAGCCGGAAAATCTGTAGAGTTTGTTTACCGAAAATGCGAGTGCTGCGTCAGGGCTGGCTGTTAGTAGCCACATTGAAGCACCAACGCGTATGTGCCACATTTGCCTCACTCACAAACACCCAACCGAACGTATGCTAGTCGGTCGGTCGGTCGGTCGGTTTGGTCGGTGTGTACCTACCCCACCAGGAAAACTTGCAGCGCCAGTCGCAGGCTAAGCAACGTAAATGCAACACAGCAAAACAAGCCAAGTGGCGGCAACAATGCAAAGGACTTTCACTGATGCCGACGGTAGCGCTGCAGCCGGCGCTAAAGCCCACAGACGCAGCGAGCTGCGGCGCTGTGGTTGATGGTAATGAAGGCAGAGTCGGTGAGGATTGTGGCGCTATGTGCTTGCGTGTGAATGTATGCCGCGACACGGAAAAAAGGGTGACTAATGTGTGTGATTGCTAACAAAAGATTCCGGCTTTCCTTCGAAGCGCCGCGACGCTGGCTGAAGCAGCAAAGCTGGCTCATTCATTTGTCTGCGCGCTGTGGCACGCACGTAAGGGGCTAAAAGGACAACGACTTCGGGGGATGAAATTTCCAATATGTGTGCGAGTTCAACATAGCAAAGCAAGACAACAAAGCGAGCACAACAACAATAAGATATTCGTAACAATGCGCTGGAGTACGATTTCAATTTCGCTTTCAGTGGCTGCACCTCGGTGCGATATCCTTTTGGCTGGGGCGGCGATTGTGAACGCAAACAGCGGGTAGCGTAAATACGAACAGCGACAGTGACGACGGCGACGGCGACGACGATGACGATGACGACGCCGACGGAGGCGGTGACTGGGGACGGCGCATAAATAGCCGAGGCAGGATGTGTTGTTAGTCATTCGCAGTATAGACGTCGCCCAGACAGGAGGAAACAAAAGGCGCACAGCAATATAACAACAGTTAGATTCTGTTCATTTTGTTCGGTTTAATTTGTTTTTGACTACATATATAGATACATATACGATTTGGTTTCATTGTTTCCAACGCATCCGAAATTTCAATTCATACTCAACGCTTATTATCGCCTAATGGTTGCTCAAATTATTGTTTTACTATTTATTGTTGTGTTAAGATAAGAAGAAGCAGACATTCAAGTGCAAAACGAATTTTTGTTATACACCGACAAGTGCAATGGCCACCATTACAACCACAAACACGGCGGCTGCTGGTGCGCAGCACAGCATCGTGCAAATGGCTAGCCGACAGATACCACACGGCCTTGGTCTGCTCACAACAGTCGCCTCGCTGCCTCCAAAATATCGCAGTCGTTACCTGAACCTCAAATCCAAGTTCGAAACACCGCTGGATCTCTCGGTGAAACCGAACTCACCTGTGCCCACCAACACCGAGGAGATAGCAAACGATGTACCGATGGCTAGTACATTTACCGAAGTGTACACGGAGCCCAGTGACGAGCCGATAGCAACGCAAGTGTTTAGCGACTCCAGTGAGGTCTCCCTAGTACCTATCAGCCACGGAGTGTACGTCCTGCAAGAGACGGGAGTGTCTCAAACACAGGAAGAGGAAGCCATTGTGACAATAACCCAAATCGCTAAACCCATAACTCCACCGCCGACGCCCACCAAGCGAAAACACGCTGTTATGCTCGAGGAGGCAGAGACGGAAAAAGTGTTCACAGTTTTGGAGGCCCCGAAAGCTGTAGCTGTTCAGACGCGCGAGAATCCCGCTAAACTTGCGAAGACCGCTACCAATCCGAGTACCAAACGCGACTGTACGCCTTCAAAACCAATCAAAGTTACCGACACGGCGCCCAAAACTGTAAAAGCTCAGCCGCCAGCCTCCAAACCAACGAAGAACAAGGCGACGCGCAAGCTCAAGTTCGATGAAGAGACGAGTTCCCCTGTATCAGGCACCATTATACGTCCACTGGAGGACATCACCGATGGCATAGTGCAGTACAGCAATGGCGATATCGATCCCAAGTATAACATTGTCGAAATCACAGAGGAGACCAAGGCTGAGCTGGCGGCAATTAAGAACGTTATTGGCGACTACATTTGCAAGCTCTGCCGCCTCAAGTTCGAGGACGCCTTCGGTTTGGCCCGTCATCGTTGTGCCTGCATTGTGCTGCTGGAGTACCGTTGCCCCGAGTGCGGCAAACAGTTCAACTGCCCGGCCAATTTGGCATCGCATCGTCGCTGGCACAAACCGAAGAAAACAGCAGCAAACAGCAGTGCCACAGCGACATCTGCTTCGCGTAAGGAAAACCGGAATACGACCAACAATACTGCGGCTACACAGAGCGCACCAAAGTCAACCGATCAGTCCACAGATCTGCCGTTTCCTTGCGATATTTGTGGCAAGCGCTTCAAGCGTGCAGCCTATCTACGCAAGCACCAACAGACCCACAATAAGAAGCGGACAACGAGTGCTAGCGCCAACGCCACGGTCGCGGTGCCCACGCATGAGCCACCCGCTTTGGTGGCCGACGGCAGCATATCGACCGCATCTACAGCCATTATGGGTGCTGGCTCCTACCAATCTTACGGGGGCTCCGCTTCATCCGCCTCGAGTATGCACTCGTACAACGGCACCACCACAGAAGAAGAGGCTGTAGTCAGCTATGCCGCAGCAAATGGCGGCTACATAGAGTATGTGGACGATGAAGACGATGTGCGCTCGACGACGAGCAGCACTAATTCGACGGGCTATGGACGCTTGCAAATCGTCGAGACCGGCCTGACAGAGGAGGAGAATATTGCGGCCGCAGCGTTGACGAATTTGCGGAACTGTGCCTCGGTGATTCAACACACAACACTGGCGCACTGATTGCACGGCGACAGGAACACCCTCGTTGTCAGGACGACTGGCATGTGAAATGTGTGTGTGAGTGTGCGTGTGGTGTTGGTGTTGGTGTAAGTGCAAGTGAGCGTGGGTAAGGTGGCATGCACAACTAGCAGCTTTATGGTGGTAGACAGCAGCAGACGGCGGCGAGTGATGATTGCTACGTGAGTGGGCAGTGCTGGGGTTGGGGTGATTGGGTGGCGGATTGTAAATATTTTCAGTGAAGTGCAGCGCCAGTTAAGGGTTGATTTGTGTGTTTTCACTTATACAAACATATTTTAGGAAAGTTATGTTTAAGTTCAGTGCTTCTGTTTTTGTTTTTTTTTTTTTGTCTATTTTTGTTGCTTCGTTTAGCTCTGCAGCTAAGTACACCAAAGATTAGTTGTAACCGGTTGGGATGGCGGCGTTTTGGCGCGTTGAAGTTCGCCATACCGCCGCCATTTTATGTTTTCTCAATTATCAGGCTTCTTCGGTTAGGTTTAGTTTATGGTTAGGTTAGCTTTTAAATGAAAATAGTATTGAGAAACCAGCAAACGAGCAGTTCTAGTCATTGGGAACGCAAACGCAAGCTAGTCACTAATTTTACAGATCACACAAGTCACTCGGCATGACTTTGTGACATCAGCTTCTTAGGATCTCAAACATTTAGGGGTTTACCTAAAGAGAAATACCGCAAAATGTATTTTGTTTTTTTCAACTTAGTTCATAACCTAGATACTAGATAACAAATGTCAGGCGAAATAGTGCAGTAAAAAAATTTAGTTTAGTTCAAAGGTTCGGAAATCCTCTTTCGAGGCGTAGTGACCGAAAGAGATGAGTGTGAACTCTAGTCAACTTGTTACGCAAAAACCAGTTAGGTTCATTTGTAGAACTCTTAGTCGATTAGGTTTTATTCTAATTTAATTTACTATATATTTTACGCAATAGTTAAGTAAAGAATTTAATTATTATTTAAGCAATTAACTACTTCGCGAGAGTTGAAAACTATGAAGACCAGCAAATCACTACCAAACTTAAATACATACTTGTATACAAACTACGAAGTACAATACGAATTATTTTCAATTTGAAACGAAATATTCAAATACTTACTTGAAAGTAATCATAAATGTGTATAGGTTTAAATGAGCGGTTGTGTATTCGTACTTAAAATATTCAAATCAAACGTAAGTAAAACGAAATTACAACAAATAACGAAATATCACAACTTTGTTGTTCCTTAAGTCTATAAGTGAAAAAAATAAAAACAAATAAATTTGCACACTGTAAATATTAAATTAAGTCTAACACAACAAACACAAAACAAAACAACAACAGCAACATGGTTGTATGCGTCTAACAATAGTACAATACAACGAAAACTTAATGCAAAAATATTGTATTTATATTACAAAAAAAGAACTGACAAAAACCAAATTTATATATCTACATACATACAATTAGCTAAATAAGTCGCACTAACTGCTGGAATTTCAAAATTCATATCTAAAAGAAATTATTAAATAGTTTTGAACTGAAGAAACTAACTCAAATTATATCAACATTAAATGAAAAACCAAATTTAGATTTTTAAATAAAAAAAAGTATTTTTATACCTAATAATAAATAAGTTAACTTACTTAGATATTTATTTAGCATTCAAATACAAATACAAGTACTTATGAAGATCTGAATAATTGTAGTTAAGTTTTTTCGTGTAAGATTGTGATATTACAAATTAACATTAATACATATAGCCGAAGAGTGTTGGGAAAACATAAGAAATCTATTTTTATATATGAAAAACCGAATAGTTAAGCATTTTTTCTACACATTTTTAATACTCGATGTGACAATTGCTCAAACACACACACACACACACACACAAAATGTACGAATTATTAAAAGAGAATAAAGTTTATAAAAAATCGGAAATGTTGCATTTTTTATTTGGAAAAAGTTGTGGTGAAACTTGAAAAATATACATACACCTCAACCACAAGTCTCTTGCCTCATCTTCCAAAAATGCTTTGATGCCTCCTCTTCCTCAAACAGGAAGAGCAAAATTTCGTTTTCATTTTTATTTATTTATTTATTTATTTATTTATTTATTGTACTTCGAATTTTCTTGCGAATCTTGAATATCTTAAGTGTCTAGATTATAAAGAGTCAAAAATCAAAATCCTACACGCAGATCTTTTGGAGAAATGCAACTTTAACCATTGCTATGCAGTGCCGCTTTGGTGTAGTCGTAAGCAGTGCGCGCTTCCACTCCGCAGCGTCTGGGTTCAAATCCTGGTCGAAGCAACCTCGCAAAAAATTTAGACAACAGGTTTGTGTGTCAATATCAAGGGGCACGCCATAAATCGGAGGAGAAGCTCGGCCAAACACTGACATATGTGTAAGCGCCAATCTATTATTACTATTATTATGCAGTGCAGTGCAAAGTATATAGCTATAAGGCCATATGCATAGCTGCTTCTGTTTTAATAAAGGTTAGAAATCTTACATGCATTACCGTTAAATGCAGATCCTCCGTGCCTGATTTCACGCTTATCGTGACAAGCTTTAGTGCAAGTTTGCGATTCAATTTTGCATTCCTTTTACATGTGTGTAACAACGGTATTCACCAAGCATTAGGTTTAGTTTTGGGGGTGGTATGACGTCTAAAAAGTATTTATGCAATTTAAATAATCCTTTGCAACATCGCTAGAACCTGTGCCTTCTTTAGACACCTTTGATAGTTCTTAGACACACTCGACGTAGATCTAAGCTCTCTATAAAAATTGTGAAGCTCACCCCTCCTTGCGTAACAATAGATGCCTTATGTATTCGATGACTTCAATATTTTCGTCCTGTACGATTTCGGAACCAGACATAAAACAACGCGTGCAGAAAACAATACTCAGACTACTTGCCATGTATTGTACTGTTTACATGTTCCTTTTACTCTGTTTTAAATCTGTACGATTTACGAATAAACCTAGGTTGGGTGTCAAAGAGCTCCGGTATACATCTATCAACACATTGCGGCCAAAGGCTCCTTGCAAAGACGGAACAGAAGTACAAAAAGTGTTCCACCATCCCATTCTCTTCAAGGCAGGATGGGCAAATGGAGTTGTTATTTACGCCTATCACAGTCAGGTGTTTGCGCGCCGTAAAGTGACCTGTCAGCAGTTCAACAAGTTATCTGCAGTCCTGTCTGCTCAATGAGAGTAAAAAACCCAGATAGACCTTTTAGCCAGATTGAAGCCAACATGAGTTTTCCCCACCTGCAGCCGCTCGATGGCTCCTAGTCATTTCTGAGTCATCGATGGTGGCTCCGATGGCCGAAGGTGGGTGTTCATCGGGCGAATATGTGGCTAGAAGCAGTTGCACGTTCGCTCCGATGTTTCGTAAGTTAAATTAAAAGAAATAAACAAGGTAAAATTGAGTATTAGAAATTCAAATATATTTTATTTGCTCATATAGTAATGCGTACAAATGTATTTCAGATTACCTTTCTATATTAAATCGATGAGGCGATGAAGTGTGGTGGCCCGAGGACGTCTGCTTATTTGGATGATCGCAAGATAAGTATGAGAGGGTCCTTTTTCTGCTATGTAGTATAGCTCAAGAAAACTGTTTTTTTCCCGCCAGGGAAATTTTAACATAGATAGTCGTTTATACAAGTATAAGCTAACTGTTTTGTCTTATACACAAAGTAAAATATTAGGGCGGGTCGTAAATTGAATTGTTTAGGACGCCGGGCTAAACATGCCGGCCCCCTTGTGACAAGCAAAGATAAATTACCGTAGTGCAGCCATCAAGCTGCATTGCTTGCTTAAAAAAAAAAACTAAAGCTAAGTAAGTGCCTCTTTTCACTTTCCACACTGGTCGTACCTACAATCTGGAAGAAAAAAATGCAAAAAGAAAAATTCCCAATAAAAAGTGTGGTTTAAAATTCGCAGCAAAACAACAACAAATGTAGTAATAAAAAAAATGTGCAAATTCAAAATATAAAAGAAAAGATTAGAAGGCACCAAATAGCACCCATCCAAAGATGGCGTTTTGTGCTAGTAATGGGCCCAGAGTCCCAGCAGGAATGACGTCCAGTAAAATTTTTCGGAATACCTCCGCACCAAGAACTAACTGAACTGTTGCTGCGATGTTAAAACGGGGATACTCGCAAGATAAGCAGACGTCCTCGAGCCACCACGCTTTTCATCGCTTGTAAAACCCAAGGAAAATACTGGAAAATTGTAATAACTTTTATACATATACTTGAACAATAAATTGTTTAGTTTTGAATTGTATTGTTAAAAGACATCACCGTGTTTTTCCTATTTCTTTTTACTTGAATTAAACATTGGCGCGAACGTGCGACTCCTCTTTGCCACGAATTCGGCCAATGTACATGGTGCTATAATCTCACCCGATTCTGCTTTGCGAAGTGAGAAAATATTTGTACTTGCATTTCTCGAAAAAAGAATTTTCATTTTTCTTGGTCCAAGCATGTTTCATTTATTTTCTATTCAGGAGCACCGTGTATGTGATCTGTGATGTGAAAAGAAAGACAGTTTCGAAGACCTCATATGTATGTAGAAGAAGCGCTTTGGGCCGTTTAACACTACGGTGGTGACTCACATTCGGATTACGGATTCTTTTCGAAACTAAGCGCAAATGTTTTTACTTTTCCTATTCGGCACTACAACCGCTTTTCGGTTTGGGCTGAGACCAAAAAACTTCGCAAATTGCTTCTCGCCTTTGCGAATTCGCAGAGGGTTCTGCACTTGGTCCTTCCATTAGCCTCCGTGCTTTCCTAATCCACCGAGTCGAAGGATCTTTTCAACGAAGCTACGCGTGCAACTCATCGAAGCCAGCGCAATCGTTGTATTTTTATGTCGTTTACCTTAGAAACCCTAAATAAAAACTGCCAAAGTTTTTGGATATGTGATTGGTTCTAAAAATATTGGCTGCGTTTCTTTATACATTCCGGATAATCTCATTTCACAGCCGGAACAAACAGAATACGTTTGAAATATATGTTAGCATATCATCAGGAATATTCTAAAGAATAAGTAAACAAAAAAGTTTATTCCAAATGTTCAGAATGAATAAAGAAATGCAGCCATTAATAGAAAAATTTGAAAATGTCTAAAAAAAAAATTGATCAGAATAATCTTCCATCTACTTGTGACGTGATTAGTAATTTAAGCCAACCATCTAACATATTTTTTTTTTATTAATTGCGAAATACTAATAATATAATAAGGAATGTATGTATGTATTTAGTCTTTATGAAAAATTGTTTTCTCAAAACGAGTGCGTGCAAGAAAATATCCCTAATAGTGCGGGTCGAAATTTATATTTTCCCTTAACCCTTTGGTAATAGTGAAAATATGCTGTTTATTAGGTCAATTACAAGCCTGTAAAATAATATTCTTTTTAATTTTAAGTGAAGAGCCCGCGCATCGATCCTCAAGTGTAACCAAGAACAGGGCACTCGTCGCATAATACAAGTCCTGGTACGAATTAAAGGTTTAGAAAAACGCTTTGGTTGTTTAATTAGAGAATTAAACCCAAAACCACTTTGTCGAACAACTTACTGCAGCAGTCCTATAGGTTAGGGTTGCCCTTCGAGTTACCTTTTTTCAACAAACATATAGACTGTTCTCCTGATTATTTCGCTGTTCTACAGAAAAAATAAGATGAGTGCCGCTTTCATATTTCGTTTTAAATCTGACCTTTAATTTAGCATCTCTAGTTTTTTTTTCATGTTTTCATTTTTCAACTTGTCAGCAAGACAACGCGGAAGAGTTAGCTAGGGAGTCATAAGTTCCACAGCAGCTCGAAACACTTCATTATTATCCAATTTCAGATTACTTCAAAAATGTTCCTGGTATTTGGGTACCATCACTTTTACGCGGCATTTTAATAAGTTTCTAAAAAAGTTATGTGAAATACTTCAATACTGTACTGTAGCATAAACGTA